ACCGTCGTGGATCATTGCATGATACAATGTCGACCACCTGTAGATGGGTATTGCAGCACCTATATCACTGAAACACGACCATTCATGTACCGATCATGTCATGACCGTCGTGGATCATTGCATGATACAATGTCGACCACCTGTAGATGGGTATTGCAGCACTTATATCACTGAAACACGACCATCCATGTACCGATCATGTCACGACCGTCGTGGATCATTGCATGATAAAATGTCGACCACCAGTAGATGGATATTGCAGCACCTATATCACTGAAACACGACCATCCATGTACCGATCATGTCATGACTGTCGGTGGATCATTGCATGATACAATGTCGACCACCTGTAGATGGGTATTGCAGCACCTATATCACTGAAACACGACCATTCATGTACCGATCATGTCATGGCCGTCGTTGATCATTGCATGATACAATGTCGACCACCTGTAGATGGGTATTGCAGCACCTATATCACTGAAACACGACCATCCATGTACCGATCATGTCACGATCGTCGTGGATCATTGCATGATACAATGTCGACCAACTGTAGATGGATATTGCAGCACCTATATCACTGAAACACGACCATTCATGTACCGATCATGTCATGGCCGTCGTGGATCATTGCATGATACAATGTCGACCACCTGTAGATGGGTATTGCAGCACCTATATCACTGAAACACGACCATTCATGTACCGATCATGTCATGACCGTCGTGGATCATTGCATGATACAATGTCGACCACCTGTAGATGGGTATTGCAGCACCTATATCACTGAAACACGACCATCCATGTACCGATCATGTCATGGCCGTCGTGGATCATTGCATGATACAATGTCGACCACCTGTAGATGGGTATTGCAGCACCTATATCACTGAAACACGACCATCCATGTACCGATCATGTCACGACCGTCGTGGATCATTGCATGATACAATGTCGACCACCTGTAGATGGGTATTGCAGCACCTATATCACTGAAACACGACCATTCATGTACCGATCATGTCATGGCCGTCGTTGATCATTGCATGATACAATGTCGACCACCTGTAGATGGGTATTGCAGCACCTATATCACTGAAACACGACCATCCATGTACCGATCATGTCACGATCGTCGTGGATCATTGCATGATACAATGTCGACCAACTGTAGATGGATATTGCAGCACCTATATCACTGAAACACGACCAATTATGTACCGATCATGTCATGACCGTCGTAGATCATTGCATGATACAATGTCGACCACCTGTAGATGGGTATTGCAGCACCTATATCACTGAAACACGACCATTCATGTACCGATCATGTCATGGCCGTCGTGGATCATTGCATGATACAATGTCGACCACCAGTAGATGGGTATTGCAGCACCTATATCACTGAAACACGACCATCCATGTACCGATCATGTCACGACCGTCGTTGATCATTGCATGATACAATGTCGACCACCTGTAGATGGGTATTGCAGCACCTATATCACTGAAACACGACCATTCATGTACCGATCATGTCATGACCGTCGTAGATCATTGCATGATACAATGTCGACCACCTGTAGATGGGTATTGCAGCACCTATATCACTGAAACACGACCATCCATGTACCGATCATGTCACGACCGTCGTGGATCATTGCATGATACAATGTCGACCACCTGTAGATGGGTATTGCAGCACCTATATCACTGAAACACGACCATTCATGTACCGATCATGTCATGGCCGTCGTTGATCATTGCATGATACAATGTCGACCACCTGTAGATGGGTATTGCAGCACCTATATCACTGAAACACGACCATCCATGTACCGATCATTTCACGATCGTCGTGGATCATTGCATGATACAATGTCGACCAACTGTAGATGGATATTGCAGCACCTATATCACTGAAACACGACCAATTATGTACCGATCATGTCATGACCGTCGTAGATCATTGCATGATACAATGTCGACCACCTGTATATGGGTATTGCAGCACTTATATCACTGAAACACGACCATTCATGTACCGATCATGTCATGGCCGTCGTGGATCATTGCATGATACAATGTCGACCACCTGTAGATGGGTATTGCAGCACCTATATCACTGAAACACGACCATCCACGTACCGATCATGTCACGACCGTCGTGGATCATTGCATGATACAATGTCGACCACCTGTAGATGGGTATTGCAGCACCTATATCACTGAAACACGACCATTCATGTACCGATCATGTCATGACCGTCGTGGATCATTGCATGATACAATGTCGACCACCTGTAAATGGGTATTGCAGCACCTATATCACTGAAACACGACCATCCATGTACCGATCATGTCACGACCGTCGTTGATCATTGCATGATACAATGTCGACCACCTGTAGATGGGTATTGCAGCACCTATATCACTGAAACACGACCATTCATGTACCGATCATGTCATGACCGTCGTGGATCATTGCATGATACAATGTCGACCACCTGTAGATCGGTATTGCAGCACCTATATCACTGAAACACGACCATTCATGTACCGATCATGTCACGACCGTCGTGGATCATTGCATGATACAATGTCGACCACCAGTAGATGGATATTGCAGCACCTATATCACTGAAACACGACCATCCATGTACCGATCATGTCATGACTGTCGGTGGATCATTGCATGATACAATGTCGACCACCTGTAGATGGGTATTGCAGCACCTATATCACTGAAACACGACCATTCATGTACCGATCATGTCATGGCCGTCGTTGATCATTGCATGATACAATGTCGACCACCTGTAGATGGGTATTGCAGCACCTATATCACTGAAACACGACCATTCATGTACCGATCATGTCATGGCCGTCGTGGATCATTGCATGATACAATGTCGACCACCTGTAGATGGGTATTGCAGCACCTACATCACTGAAACACGACCATTCATGTACCGATCATGTCATGGCCGTCGTTGATCATTGCATGATACAATGTCGACCACCAGTAGATGGATATTGCAGCACCTATATCACTGAAACACGACCATCCATGTACCGATCATGTCATGACTGTCGGTGGATCATTGCATGATACAATGTCGACCACCTGTAGATGGGTATTGCAGCACCTATATCACTGAAACACGACCATCCATATACCGATCATGTCACGACCGTCTAGGATCATTGCATGATACAATGTCGACCACCTGTAGATGGATATTGTAGCACCTATATCACTGAAACACGACCATCCATGTACCGATCATGTCATGACTGTCGGTGGATCATTGCATGATACAATGTCGACCACCTGTAGATGGGTATTGCAGCACCTATATCACTGAAACACGACCATTCATGTACCGATCATGTCATGGCCGTCGTTGATCATTGCATGATACAATGTCGACCACCAGTAGATGGGTATTGCAGCACCTATATCACTGAAACACGACCATTCATGTACCGATCATGTCATGATCGTCGTGGATCATTGCATGATACAATGTCGACCACCTGTAGATGGGTATTGCAGCACCTATATCACTGAAACACGACCATCCATGTACCGATCATGTCACGATCGTCGTGGATCATTGCATGATACAATGTCGACCAACTGTAGATGGATATTGCAGCACCTATATCACTGAAACACGACCAATTATGTACCGATCATGTCATGACCTTCGTAGATCATTGCATGATACAATGTCGACCACCTGTAGATGGGTATTGCAGCACCTATATCACTGAAACACGACCATTCATGTACCGATCATGTCATGGCCGTCGTGGATCATTGCATGATACAATGTCGACCACCTGTAGATGGGTATTGCAGCACCTATATCACTGAAACACGACCATTCATGTACCGATCATGTCATGGCCGTCGTGGATCATTCCATGATACAATGTCGACCACCTGGAGATGGGTATTGCAGCACCTATATCACTGAAACACGACCATCCATGTACCGATCATGTCACGATCGTCATGGATCATTGCATGATACAATGTCGACCACCTGTAGATGGATATTGCAGCACCTATATCACTGAAACACGACCATCCATGTACCGATCATGTCATGACTGTCGGTGGATCATTGCTTGATACAATGTCGACCACCTGTAGATGGGTATTGCAGCACCTATATCACTGAAACACGACCATTCATGTATCGATCATGTCATGGCCGTCGTTGATCATTGCATGATACAATGTCGACCACCTGTAGATGGGTATTGCAGCACCTATATCACTGAAACACGACCATCCATGTACCGATCATGTCACGATCGTCGTGGATCATTGCATGATACAATGTCGACCACCTGTAGATTGGTATTGCAGCACCTATATCACTGAAACACGACCATCCATGTACCGATCATGTCACGATCGTCGTGGATCATTGCATGATACAATGTCGACCACCTGTAGATGGGTATTGCAGCACCTATATCACTGAAACACGACCATTCATGTACCGATCATGTCATGACCGTCGTGGATCATTGCATGATACAATGTCGACCACCTGTAGATAGGTATTGCAGCACCTATATCACTGAAACACGACCATTCATGTACCGATCATGTCATGGCCGTCGTGGATCATTGCATGATACAATGTCGACCACCTGTAGATGGGTATTGCAGCACCTATATCACTAAAACACGACCATCCATGTACCGATCATGTCACGATCGTCGTGGATCATTGCATGATACAATGTCGACCACCTGTAGATGGGTATTGCAGCACCTATATCACTGAAACACGACCATTCATGTACCGATCTTGTCATGACTGTCGGTGGATCATTGCATGATACAATGTCGACCACCTGTAGATGGGTATTGCAGCACCTATATCACTGAAACACGACCATTCATGTACCGATCATGTCATGACTGTCGGTGGATCATTGCATGATACAATGTCGACCTGTCCAGAACTTACACTTTGGTCCTTTGAAATGTACCAAGGCTGTTTCCTCATTCCTGTTCATGTCGACTCTAGTTACTTCCAATCCCTCACTTTTACGCCATTTCTTAAAATACAGCATCAGAGCTCCTCCGGTGATTGAGGTGAGGATACGTGTTGTCTTGATCACGGAAGACTCTTCCATTGTTCCCTTTAACACAGGATAAAGAAAAGTAAGGTTTGTAATCGAAAAAATGTGCTGAGTTGTCCCCCTTAGTCCCACAGTGCCATTCTGGCACCCGCTCAAATAGATTTGATTACAGTCTCGTGTAGCTTATAGAAGTCACTTCAAAGGTAACTAATACTGTTATTGCTGTATCGTATATCTGATTGAAATATATGTATCATGATAGATCTGTCCTGCTACACATTAAGAAACTCCAAAATACCTATTTTTGCTTCCATGGAAATGTGACATACAGTTAACTACGGTTATAACGAACTCAAAGGGACCACTAGTTTAAATTCGTTATAACCGTAGTTCGTTATATGCATATATACAACATCTATACAGCAAATGGCCGGGACCAAAAAATAAGTTCGTAATATCCGTCAGTTCGTTATAAGCGTGTTCGTTATAAACGTTGTTTACTGTACTAGCATTGTACTCCAGTATACGTGATCTATCTTGCTGTGGTAATCTATTAGTGCCTGTTGGTCAACAAATTGTCATACTGCTGTTGGTCTGTAATCGTGACAGAAGATAGGTAGAAGATGTTTTTTGTCATCCAAGGAAAAAGGTTTAACAACACTGGATTAAACAGATTTCATTCCAGGGCCCACTTGCGATCTTAGCGCTAAGATGATTGTAACTCCCATGCTTTAACATAGGCTTACAATAGTCGCAGCGCTAAGATAGCTTTGTGCAAGTGG